TGGACTTGCTTGTAGAGCCTTGCTTACTTGATTTGTTGGCCTTGAGAGCTACATCCTTGATCTTGATGCCTTCTCACTTTGCTTGCAATTCACCAAGCTTTTTCATCTCATTTGCTTCTTCTTTTTGCATGTCAAAGGTCATGATCCTCCCAAGTACATCATTTGGTGTGAAGTACTCAAACTTCTTGTCTCTAATTAGAGTCACTACGGTCTTATTTCTAGGTGAATAAGCTTTCAACATAATCTTGACAACTTTGTGATCATCTAGCTCATCACAACCATAGCCTCTAATCTTGCCCACCATTGTCATCAACCTATCAAACATCTCTTGTGGCCCCTCTCCATCCAAGATTACAAACCGGTTGAGCTTTGACATCAACAAATCAATTCTTGTCTTTCTCACTTTGTCAATCCCTTCATGTGCTAGGTGCAAAGTGTCCCATATTTACTTGACAACATCAACCCCAATCACTCTATTGTACTCATCACCATCCAAAGCACTAAGCAACACACTTGTGGCTTGACCATTGAGGTGAATGATTCTCATCTCTTCTAGTGTTGGGTTTTTGGATCAACCGGTGGCTCAAATCCATTGCAAACAATCTCCCAAATGCCAGGGTGAAGACCTATAAAATAGGCTCTCATCAAGTGCTTTCACTTGGCAAAGTTAGTCCCATTGAAATGGGGTAGCTTGCCCACGGACACATTGATGAAAGACCTTCGATCATGGTTAGTCATATGTATAGAAGAGTAGTTAAAGGATACAATGGCATATTTGTTGTTGTTGGCTTTGCCCTTTCCTCTCTTCTCCTTCTTGTCCCCCTTCGACACTTGGTAGGACTCATCATCATCTCCATCTTTGGAACTACTTGATATGTCACTTGATGATGCATTTGTTTCCTTCTCTTCTTCTTCCTTCTTCTTCCTAGCTTCTCTCCTTCTTCTTGCTTCTCTTATGAGCTTTCTTTCTTCTTTTCTTTGCTTCTTGTCTTCTAACCGCTGTTGCTCCTTCTTCTTCTCTCTTGCTTCTCTTTTGAGCTTTCTTTCTTCCTTCCTTCTTCTCTCATTGTCATTGTGAACTCTTTCGGTATCGGTAGCCTCAAGATGTGGTAGTGTGGTGTTGCTTGCTGTTGATGTGCTCAATTCACTGCTGTCGGTGTCGACATCCACCGGCTTCACGCCACTAGTTCCTCCTCCAGGCTCCATACCTCATGTGGTGAAGCGCTCACGAGGTAACTGCTCTGATACCACTTGTAGGATCTCTAGTTAGCCTAAAGGGGGGTGAATAGGCCTGTTAAAAAAACTCAAACTTTTATCAAATTCAACATGCGGCACTGCCACTCTGTCCCCACGGCACTGCCGGACAGCGACACTGCTGGGCCAGAACAGCGGCACTACCGCACCTGCAAACAACATCGAGTCACAGTTCAAAATCAGTGAATGTAAACTTGAATCAGAGAAATTTCATAGCTTCCTGCAGGTATGAGATTCACAGATCGAGAGCTAGAAGTGGTAGGAACACAACGCACAAGTAGATCGACCACAAACCCTAGAAATCACCTCAACAACAATATGAAATGCAAATGATGTAAATCAAGCACAAGGTGACATGATGATTTAACCCGTGGTTCAGCTCGCCACCAAGGCTTGCCTACGTCCACGTTGTTGAGGTTAGCCACTAAGGCTTAGGGCTTTGCAACCCTTCCTCGTTCTCAAGTCAAGAGACTCAACTCTTGAGATGAGAGGTGAGTTTACTAGCTTCAAGAGGTGGTTACAAACCTTCCAGGGCTGCCACACAAGTTGGCAAGCTCCACGGGCGATGCTCTAGCTGGCTAGGAGCAAAGCTCCAAGAGTAATAAACACAACCGCTGGCCAAAACGTGAACCAAGTGCTCTTTTGAGTTGGGGAATCAAAGGATCTGCTCTCTAATTGAATTTGGGACCTTTTTCTCTCAAGGATTGATGGGGAAATCAAGGGAGAATGCTTGAGAGCTCAAGGTCACCAATGGAGGAGGGAGAGAAGGGCACTCTTCTATTCTTGGACGAGCTGAATGAGTGGGAGAGAGAAGAGAGACGTTGGGAGGAAGGGGAAAGGTATAAGTACCCCCCCCCCCAGTCCCCAATGGTCACTTACATCGTAGCAGTGCCGTGGCTTAAGTGCGGTAGTGTCACACTACTGTAGTGCCTCTCTCTAGGTGTGGCACTACCGCACCAGGCAAGACAGCAAGGGTAAGAGTGAAGTGTTGGCTGTTTTGGCTGAGTAACTGAGGATGTATGTGAAAGATTGAGCACTTGGTAGCACATGTTAGCTTAAGCATTGTGTCCCCCTTTATAGTACGGCTTTTCTTATACTCAAATTCAAAATATAAAAGAATTTAAACCTCCTTTGAGTTTGAAGCCATCAACATTTGTAATTGGGGGCTCCTCCATTTCGTGTAACATCCTCGAATATAGATACCCTGCTTGTCATCTCGATAAATCTCATTAGTTCTCTAATTGCGTGGTCATTATCACCAAAACCCACAATTGGGGCTTGATTGTACTTTCAGTACCAAGTTGGTGTGGTTTATAACGGTGTCACTGCAAGTGGTAAGAATGCCCGTGTGAAGGTCACCATGCAAGATTATTTTCGCTATGTGTTCGACGATAGAAAAGACCAGCCAAGCAAACCCTTTCTTATTATGCTACGGTACCTTATCCACTCACGCGTGCTTGTGTTGATGAAAGTAGGCTCTAGTATATCATTCAGAACCAAAACAAACTTCGTGTAGAGAGACTATAGGGTATAGTTGATGTTGTTGATCGTGGGTGCATGGATGGTAATGAGATTGGCAAAAAGATTGTACTACCGGCTTCGCATACCGGCGATAGGCGTTATATGATTCAGAATTACCATGACGGAATTGTGATTTGTAGGGTGTATGGGCCACCAGATTTTTTTCACAACATTAATGTGTAATCCAAAGTGGCTAGAGATTTCTGAGGCCTTGTCCTCTGAGCCTGGCCAGAAACCAACAGATAGAGCAGATATAGTGGTTAGGGTGTACAATATGAAGCTTGAGGAGCTTCTTACCATCTGTTTGGTTGGAGGGACCATTGGGGATGGGACGGGACAACTCCACTTCGTGTGGTGTTTGGTTCAGGGGCAACGTAGGACGGGACCGTCCCCCAAATGAATATTCGCATTGATTCGAGGTTAGCCCCGTCCCTCAAAATCGAGCGGACTAGCGTTGTTGCTTCCATCTGCCTCGAGGACGCTGGGAGCGAGCGACCGAGGGTGAGGTGAAGCAATAGGCTGATGACGCGCGGAGGTAGACGCGCTGCAGAGGGAGCTCCGACGGTCGAATCTCAGTGAGTGAGCTCGAGCTCATGGTGGATCCAGACGCTACAGAAGTGCAACGCGGCGGCCGGATCCAGACGCTGCGGTGAGCTCACGCCGACTAGCATGGGGGCACGGCCCACGGCCCGCGGCCTACAGTGGTGATCTCGGGCGCTACCAGCCACCGGCGTGGAGGCATGGAGGCGCGGCGTTGAGGCGTGGGGGTGCGGCGAGCTCGCCCGCTACCTGTTGCCGGCGTGGAGGCACGGCGGCGATGGGGCGGCCCGCGATGGGGATGCGAGCAGCCGAGCACGGAAAGTTCTGTTTTTCATTTTTTTAATATATAATATAAAACAGAACAAAAGAAAGGTTGGTTTAGATTGACATGTGGGTCCCGTTATAACAGTGTTTAACGGTGTCAAATACATCATCCATCTTATTCCCCTTCATCCCTTCAACCAAACAGAAAATGGGTCGGTCTAGTCCCTCAGCCAAACAGAAAATGGATCCATCCCATCCCAGAAACTAGAGTCGGAACCATCCCACCCCACACTTTGTCTTCCAACCAAACGCTGCCTTAGAGATATAAAAAGTGGTGCTGCTTTTGGACCGGTGAGAGCTGGTATGTGGTTCTACTAAGTGAATGTTTTGGTTTTGTTTGGAGGCATGGCGTTTGATTTGCATGTGTTTGATGTTTTTTTTTTGTTTATTTAGTGTTGCACACTGTTGAGTTCCAGAAATGTGGCCTTCCCCATGGTCATATTATTGTCTAGCTCGTCCGGGACCCCTCACATCCAACACCTGCGTTCATTGATCAATTCATAACCGTTGAGATTCCTGATCCACAAAGAGACCCTCTTAGGTATGCGTTAGTTGCCGAACATATGATGCATGATCCATGTGGACCAGGCCATAAGACCTGCCCATGCATGAAAAATGGTAAGTGTTCAAAAAGATTTCCAAAACCATACCAGAACGAAACGAGTGTGGAAGACAATAACTTCGCTGTGTACAGAAGGTCCAATAATGATAGATATATTGAAAAAGGAAATAAACGGCTAGATAACGGTTGGGTTGTACCCTATAGTATGCTTTTGTTTAAAAAATATCAAGCGCATATCAATGTAGAGTGGTGCTATGAGGGAATTTTTATTAAATACCTATTAAATACGTCACCAAAGGTGCTGATCGTGGCCAGGTTTATATACAGAGAATAAGAAAGCGCCGCGCCAAAGGGCAGTACACTGGTCGTTCTTACTTGGTTTCAGTTGTTGTTCTTCAGTTCTAGCAGCAGTGCACGCGGAGTTGTCTTGTTTTTGCTCCTTTTTAGTTGTTTAATATGTGGGGCGTGCATGCTTCCCTGTATAATTTTTTGTCGTTCAGTTTCTTTTTCTTTTTTCTCGTCTATTAAATCAGGGGCAAAGTTTTTTCCGTCCTTTAAAAAAAAAGAAAAGAAAAGGGAAGTATCAAAGAAACAACAATCACCGTAGCACATTGATTTCGACACACCAACAATTCACTAGTAGATGCAATAATCCACAGCCAACCATTTTGGTCGCCAGATTAACACCAGAGTTCGACTCCGATCAACATGTGTCATTGTCGCGTGCATTTTCCACTATGATCTTCGAGGTAACCAACAGACGAGTCTAGATCGCTGGTCGATGCATGGGCGGTTCCGTTCAGTCGAAGCGGCCGTCGGCGTCGACGAAGCGCTTGATGACGCGCATGAGCTCGGCGGAGGCGTCGGACCAAGGGTCGATGGTGAAGAAGCCGTGCTGCTGGCCGTCGAAATCCCGCACCTCGACGGGCTTCCCCGCGGCCTTGAGCCGCGCGGCGTAGTCCACGGCGCGGTCGTGGAGGATGTCGCGGCCGCCGACGACGACCATGGTGGGCGCGAACTCCACGGCGTCCAGCGCGGGCGCGCCGGGGCCGAACGGGTTGGACACGGGGTGGTCGGCCGTGGCGCCCTCCGGCAGCGACAGGCGCCAGTACCGGTCGTTGAGGGGCCGGTTGAGGAAGGCGTCGTCGGGGCACTCGGCCTCCGACCGCGTGCGCTCCACGCCGCCGAAGAAGGGCATGAGCTGGACGTAGCCCCGGACGGCGACGGGGGCCAGCTCCGCGCGCGCCGCGGGGGAGCCGAACCACACGGCGAGGTGGTGCGCGATGGTGCCGCCTGCCGAGTCGCCCGACACGAAGACCCGGCCGAGGTCCGCGGCCTCGGTGACCCACGGGTCCCCGCCTCCACCGGCCTCCTTCGCCTGCGCGGCCAGCCACAGGACCGCCGCCGCGCCGTCGTCGAGCGCGGCAGGGAGCCGGTGCTCGGGCGCGAGGCGGTAGTCCGGCGCCACCACGAGCGCGCCGAGGTCGGAGGCCAGGCGGAGGCAGTAGTTCTGGACGTTGGGCCAGGTGCGGGACCCGATGCAGAACCCGCCGCCGTGGTAGTAGAAGAACACCGGCAGCCTCCGCCCGCCGGCGGCGCGCTCGCGGGGAAGGTAGAGGCGGAGCCCCAGCCCGTGGGCCTCGTCGAACGTCACGTCCTTCCACTCCACGGTGCCGTCGTCCCGCACCGGCGTCGAGAACCCCGGCTGCGCGCGCCGCACCACCGAGCCGTCGCTGTACACGAACAGCACGCCCCGGCACTCGTCCACGACCCGCGGCGCGGCCTCGGACGCCATGGGTGATGGGTGGGTGCTGGCTGGAGTGGAGTGGTGAGGTGAGGACGTGAGGTCATGGTCATATAGAGCGGGAAGTGTGCGGTGCGCAAGTGGAGGCGCTTTTGTCATTTGGTGGGTTTGCGTGCTGCGGTTTGCGAGGAGAGTGGTTGGGGCCGGGCGATCGCCGGAAGCGACAGGGGGTAAGGACGTGGCGCGGCCGACCGGTGAGGTGGTGGGTGCCGACTCGGCCGGCACCGGGCGGGGTGCGTACAAAACGCTGCCGTCTCGCCACCGCTAGGTGGCCAATGGAGCGTCCTGCGTCCGTTGCGTCAACACCGGGCAATGCGTATGCGTGCTGTGGTCACCACATGTACCGTACATTCCTAGTAGCTCCGAAGTCCGAACTTAATATGGCAGTCTCATTCAGCCCTTGTTTAGTTGTAAGAATTTGAATTTTGGGGCTACTGTAGTACGTTCGTTTTTATTTGGCAAATAGTGTTCAAATATGGACTAATTAGGCTCAAAACGTTCGTCTCGTAATTTCCCACCAAACTGTGCAATTAGTTTATCTTTTCGTCTACATTTAATGCTCCATGCATAAGCCGCAAACATTCGATGTGACAGGTACTGTAGCAACTTTTTGGAAGTTGAGGTAGAACTAAACACGCTGTCAGTCATTCTTAGATGTACCATTGAGCTCCAAAACTAACGACGTGTCACCGTCCCATTTTACAATGTGATCAGCTGCTTCCTAATTGCAAATCGGTAAATTCCAGTACCATCACTCAGCTGCTACTTTGTGTTTCTAGGAAATCAGAAGAATCTGAATGAGATAAACACATATATACTTGGTAGAAAGGTTTCTCCTGTTAAAACGGCATGAGGAGACGAATGTTCGCTCCATTATTTCCCTTCCCTGAGGCAGTTCAGGCCCTGTTTAGATCTCACCTAAAATCCAAAAATTTTGGAGATTTCCCGTCACATCGAATCTTGCGGCACATACGTAGAACATTAAATGTAGGTAAAAAGAATAACTAATTGCACAGTTTGCCCGTAATTGGCGAGACGAATCTTTTAAGCCTAAATAGTCCATAATTGGACAATTTTTATCAAATACAAACGAAAGTGCTACAGTATCCATTTTCCAAATGGGAAGGGATCTAAACAGGCCCTCAGTTTTTGTACCAGTATAATTTTGATGTGACACCTGCGTGCATTTTCCCCCAACGCATGCATGTCATACAGACAAGCTCAGTGCATTTATTGCACTGTCAGCACCGCGTCACGCCTCCCGGAACCGAGATCCTCCAGTCAGGTACTCAGGTGGCGGTCTAGAGCGTCATATGCAGACGTGAGGTGGGATCAGCTTTCCCGGATTCATGATGTTGTTGGGATCCAACGCGGTCTTTATTCTTTTCATCGTCCTGAGTGACTCGATGCCCAACTCCTTCTCCAGGTACTGCCGACAAACAAAGGTATTCATCAACAATGACGTGATGATAATACCAGTGACCAATAAAGAAATGATGTCTTATCAGAAAATTATAAATAAGCAAAGAATGATGGGTTTGGAAACTTTCTCCTACAAATGTGCGGTTCAAGTGATATATGTAATGACACATTCAGTCTTAATGAAGTGGTTAGCGTTCAGCAGTTCTCAGTTTCTTTCTTATGCCATAGCTTTGAAGAAGGAAAAGAAAAGGTAACGCCAATAAAGCTTTTGCAGCTGTAGGTGGCTGATACTTGCCTTCATTTTCCCTGTGCCAACACCATGCTCTCCTGTGCATGTACCTGTTAGGTGCCAGTCACGTTAATATTTTCAACTAGTTCAAGTTTTGATGATGACTGGAAACAGATAAAAAAGAAAGACAAATCGCATATGTTATGGCTTCTATCTGAGGTAACTCTAGATCAGACAGTGGTTCGAGGCAGTAGGCTATTCCTTATCAGTAACAGCAAGTAAACTCTATACACAAGAAGTAGGCTATTTATACCTTCCATAGACAGAGCTGTATCAACCATGAAATGGTTTAGTCTCTCTGCTTCCTTTCGTTGGTCGTCTTGACTTGGATCAAACAGGATAATCGTGTGAAAATTTCCATCACCAGCATGAGCAATAACCAGACTGGAATATAAATAATCAGACATAAATGTCTCCATAACCAAAAGATATATTCATGGCTTGCTGAAGTTACTGTAAGATAATGCCATCCCGTATAATATCAAACAACCTTTCTGTCCTATATTTACAATAGTGAAAGAGGTGGCCATCTCTCAAAAGTATTGAATGAGGAAATGCATACCAAGTCAATGGCGACGCATCAAGCAGCCGCTTTGATGTAGATATGCATTCAGCAAGTCTGGACAGAGGGACGCAAACATCCTACACAAACAGATACAGTAGCATTAGGAAACTCATTACAGATCATGCATTGTTTACTGACAACATGTTCCATGCAAGGTTACCACAATCACGATGACCTTTTGGACAATCTACACAGGCATAGGTGTAAGACATAACCTGCTGCTGATCTCTCTCTCTCTCTTGCTGCAGCAGAGTTGGCATTTGGTCAGCTCGGCTGTCCAGTCTCTACTGTTGTAGCAGTATGGCAATAGGCCACCTCTAGTATATTAGCTGGTAGCTATTACATCAGCCATGTCTTGGTAGTGGACTGATCTAAGCTTTGTACTGCTAGTACTAGTAGTAGTTGGTGTACCTTAGGAGTAGGTAGTTGGTGTACTCACTACCTGGTAGAGGTACTAGCACTTGTATATATATCACACCTAAGGCAATGCAAAAGAGTAGTTCAATTTGCCACATCCAGAAGCAGAGCTTTCGGCCAACGCTGGGCTTGTGCTGTGTGTGTGTGAGTTGTTCTCAATATCTTCTTCTACCTCTACCATAGTGAGTGAGTGTGCTGGTAAGCTTACTGTGCAGGGCAGCCGAGGGACCAACAATAGGAACAGAGGATAGAAAATTGCCAATGAGAAAACAAACCTCTTTATTTATTTAAACAAGGCCATGCTCCATAGCTAAATATCATTTATACTAGATATGCTACTTATTTGGGATCACAATTTCATGGAGAGAACATAGGGGCATGTCGTTAAAGACTTAAAACTGAGGAGCAAGCATTAAAGCACATGATACACAACACTAGACGTGGTTCCTGGTCTCCTGGATATTACAATGACATATATATGTATATTAACCAAGTGGTAAGAGAACAAACCGTTATCATAGCTTCATGATCAGGTTTCATAGCAAAACCAGCCCAAAGTGCCTCCTTCCTGATCTGCACTTTAAAGGGCTCAGTATTGTTACAAATATATTTCAATAATACAGATCCGTTCCAATGCATGATGGACGCTAATTAATTATATTTGCAACATTCATGTGTGTGCAAGATCATGTAGAACCAAAAGGGGGAGGGGGGGTGGTGTCAATATTCTCTTCAGATTAAACGCTCTACTGACCTTCCATAATTCCGCTTTAGCATCTGGCTCCTCAACAAAAACAAAATCTGATCCATGGTGTTTGTTGGCAATTTTTTGAACCAAGAGAGTTTGTTCAAGAGCATATGCTTCTGGATATTTGCAAGAGGAAGATGTTAGCAAAGAAAAGGAAGTAGTCAGCTATTGATCATAGACCATAACAACAGTTGCAGTTTAATAAGTTCCATGAGTTCAAAGGAGTTTCTAATGAGCGTTGAGCACAGTCCAGCAGCCAGTAAAATATCTTATTATGTTGGCTTTGCCCTGAAGATCATATAGCAAAATCGGACATGTATTGTTATCAAATAAACTTCACTTTTCACGATGGCTATCTTGACTGATACCACTCCAATCTTATTATTAGATATAATACTGTGAAAGTTGTCTGAGTGTACATTGTGCGCAGAGAAAATTTTGTAGAGAATATTCCGAGAAGTTTGTGCATCCCAGAACCTAAACTGCAAAAGTAAACCTTTTCTAATTAATATCCCGAAATACAGAAGCAGTCGCATTGATGCAGCAGTAGTCGTATTATCATTCTTTACCCATTATTGTTGATCAAGAATCAAGTCAAATTCATAATCTGTAAGCAGATGATGGCTACATGCAAACCTCTTATTCATCAGACTACATTCACATGGCACCTTATATTTTCAAATAAACTCATTTGGGAGGGATAAGTACCACCACCATGGATAATAATATAACTGATCATATAGTAAGTTGCATTACCTGTCCCTATGAATTCAAACATCAAGGTCGGCACTTCAGGCAAAGTTTTGCCATTTGCCATGTTTATTGCCTTTATCTGAACCTCATCCAACAATTCCACTCTTGAAACCTAGTCATATAGAAAAGAAAACATAAATATTGGCAAGCTGCAAGAGCTTTACAGTATAGACATATATATTGGAACATAAATATTGGCAAACTGCAAGAAAACAGAGGCCAGAACCTGCACATTCATATCGTATGAAACACAGGAGAAGAAAATAGCAGGGGAAACACAAACCTGTATCCCAGAAAGCATTGTTGCAATAGCAACATCAGCAGCATCCTTAATTGTTTTAAAATTGCACATTGCAACCTGAGATAGTAGGAAAATGTATGGTGAGTGCCTCCATAACTAAAATGAAAACAAAAAAGATACATAATACAGAGAAATTTGACAGCATAAATCTAGCAACTTGTGTTCTGTCTTTTATGTATATGCTTGCACAATTTTTTCTGATGAAAGATGACAGTGGTATGTCATAGCATGAAGGTGGTCATTCCTTTTAGAAAGAATAGAATTTTTGTCCAAAAAACAAATAGCATTATGCGTTAAGGGTTCCTACATACAACACTATGTTGAGATTCAAGCCTATACAAAGAACTTTGCAGTGGTAGGAAAAGATTGAGTTTGGTACTGACTAAATCAAAAGATACTCACCACAGAATGAGATGGAAGCTTTTGGAGTCGTAAAGTCACTTCTGTAATTACACCCAAAGTTCCTTCACTCCCAATGATCAAACGAGCAAGGTCA